TTTTTTTTTTTTTTTTTTTTTTTTTAAATCAAACCCGCCCCCACCTCTTTGCTGTGTCTTCAAGCCCCACCCCTGCTACTGAGTTACTCTTACGCAGGCCCTTCACATAATAGATGACCAGCCAGGGACGATGCTGATGCTGCATGTCCACCACACAAGCAAAGAAGGAACATTTCTATTAGAAAGCGTAAAATATGCCCGTGTTTTTTGTTTGTGGATCATTTGAAAATTCGATGCAATAAACTTTATCCAAGGCTAGAGCTGCTTATGAAATAAAACGGTATTCACAAACCTAACCTGATTGGTCTCCACTGTCCTGAACATGGTGGTGGAGGACAACCCAAAAATCAGGCAGGATGGACAATGAAACAACAAAGTTAATCTTTTGTGAGTTACCGACTTTTCAGAAGTGTGTCTGTGAGTGAGCACTTCTGCAATCTGAGCTGACTGTTTCCTCACAGTAAGGCTGAATGCAGAATTTCCTTGCCAGTGATTTGGATGCTAGGCTGGGTGAAGATCTGGAACCACTGTCAAACTGCGGCTGGACTACTCTGTCTGTTACAAAATTTGTTCCTGCCATTGGCCCAGCAGTATGTGCAGTGGGCTGAGCGTTAGCTCAATTGCAGGAGACAGGACCGACCCCTCGAAACTATTAATGTATAACCTACCCAGTAATCAATTACATAGAGGCAAAAAAAAAAAATTGCAAAACGTGTGCTATAATTCTTGGTGTATTTTTATAAAAACAAGTTAAAAAATTGTTTAAAGGGGAATTTGCAAATTAAAATAAAAAAAACTTTTTTTGGGGGGGGTGAAATTTTTGTCAGATTGAAACAGTCATTATGACTTGAATGTGACATGATTAAAGTCCCACAGTGGTAGAGTCCTCCCTCTTGCAGAACCGCCAGCCTAAACGCGTCTGCGAAATTACCAACATCAAGGCTAACCCACCGCCGTGCAGGATTTGCAACTGCCACGAAAATAAAGCCCTACATGTTCTACACGGCTCCTCTTGTTGTCTATTGTCTGTTTAAGAGGGAGGAAATTTCATCTGTGCTGTATACAGCACATTTGACAATAAAGTTGGACTTGATACTTGATGTTATGAAAGACATTTTGACAAAAATGATGTTTTCTTTTTCCACCTAACTGTTCTGGTAAAGTTATGTCTTCTTTAACAGAACTGAAAAAAATTAAGATAAAAAAATTAGAGGAACAAAAATTTAAACTACTACTTACTATACATTTAAAATGAAAAAAAAAAGAATGTTTGATGGTGTCGTTTATACGTGACAGACTTTTGTGCGTGCAGCGTGAGTTCAGTTTCGACCCGACAAAACTGAGCATGAATGATTGTCAGTCCGCATGTGCTTTGTGATTGACTGGCGACCAGTCCATGCAGTAGTTTGCCACTTGCAGAAAATCAGCTGGAATAGATTGCATGGTACTCTCAACCGGGTAAGCATTATAGAAAAGGGGTGGATGGCTGGATGTATTACCCAATATATACACACACCATATAGACATTATGATCATAGTTAATTGTTTCTGTGCTGGTTGGAATTGTCATTCAAGAGTTAAAAATGATTGGTGCATTAACATTTGTTCATGTCTCCGTTTTGTGGGTTTCAGAGCGGTGGTTTTCAACAACAGAGGTGTGTCGGGGGAAACTCTGCTGGTAAGAATCCAAAACTGGCTCACAGTTTACATGCAACATTCAAAACCAAATAGATTCAACCAAACGTTTTCTGTTTTATAAAGAAGTCAGACAAATCTCCAACTTCATCAGTTCTCCATTATCGTGTTAGTACATCCCCAGAGACTTTCAGCTTGATAATCGTTTTATTACCCCCATCCAAGCACTTTTGTGGCAAAAAGACAAAATGGAACGATAAGTTGGCTGCTCAGTACATTACGAGCATTTAATTATGAATAATGTACTGATACGAGGTAGCCAAACGTATGGTGGCTACTGCTAATTAGCATGAGTGGTTGAAAAATGATGCCTTTGTTCTGCAAGGGTGACTAGTTTTCAACCGTCTTCACTCCTCTCCTCCACTCTTCTCTTTTCACACAGTTGCATGATCATTTGCGGTAGCTAGAGTACAGTTTTGATCACTAAGGTCAGATGAGCGTCACCACGAAAAGTGACACACAATTCGAGAAGGCTTTGTTCAAATATAAGCTTCTGTTTTTTTATTTTTTCTTAATTGAAGTTAAAATAATGATAATTATATTCATTACGTATATTAAGTTTGGTAGCGCTGTCAGGTTTCATGGCTGTATCTGTATTTGAGTTTATAATTGTTTCAGTAAATGTTCTTAATCTTTGTCGGACAAGAGACAGTGTCGCTGCTACTGGCAAGGATTATGTCAGACTTAATCGCGTATTTACTTATTTATGTATTTTAAGAACCAGGGATGCAGCTTCATGGGGCCCACCCCCGAGTGTCACGTTTAGTCACCCTGGCCACCCAACTCACAAATATCTGACTAGGCCCCTGTTAAGCACCCACCCTCCAAGAAATGGGAGCCGGCCAAGCTTTGGCGATCCTGACACCTGGCTTAATCCTCTCCTCCTGTATATTTAGCCAACATAAGGGGCTGAGGTGGGATATTTCTGCATCAGAACACTGTTCTTCTTGGCTACATGCGTAACTACCAGACAGTACTGCCTGTAAAGTCCCACTGAAACCAGGGTTCATGAAGTTTAGTCCATTTTATTGTGTGCAACCTTGGCACTGTCCATCGGCCACAGTGGGGGGTCTTTGTCCCTCGTTTCAATTGGTAATTGTGCCCCTTTCTGCGCACATGATTTAGCATTGATACGCTCTTGTGCTCAATTTCTGTACGAGTGTGAGCGCCATTGTGCATTGTTTAAACGAGCCAGGCTTTTAGAATGGCCCCGCTGTGTACCACCGGGTCCAATTTCAAGGCCTTGTGAGCCGTTACGTTACAATTAAATAGAGAAACAATTAACGGTGTCACTTTGCAACACAAACTTTGGTAAGTATGTCTACCTTGACAGGTTGCTAAAAAAGTCCCAAGGATCCATACCCGAAAATTGGCTCAAAGCTGCGATTGCGGGCGAATTCCAGGACTCATACTTTGACAAATTCACCCAAATGAGCCTCAGGACCGGCTTTTCTTGACAAATGGGAAACCCTAAATCGCAAAGCCTTTTCACCAGTGCCATTTTCTTGTGGGTGGAGCATGAGGTCAAGTTTGAATCCCTCTTTAAATGTTCTGATCTCCCGTTTTCACCTCAGAACCACACCCAGAGGAGTTAGCATAGCTCAGCTTCCCATGGCTGATGTTGTCATGTTGTTCAAACAGGCTGAGCAGTTGAATCTTTAATGTGGACAACAGCGTTTATGAACTGAAGTAATTGCAGTATTGACCCTTTTTTTTTTCCCTGATGGGAAATGGGAGACTTCTACAGTATTTCAAGAGAGTGTGTACGAAGGCAAGAGCACACAAGGGAAGAAGTAAACAAGAATTTAGTGGTTAGCCTGAGTTTCTACTTGAATTTTAATGACGGGCCCTGAGAACTTCAGCAACATCAGGAGAAACGGGACAAACGGGCGCCCTGCCCATGGAAGGCATTGAATGAATGTGGTACATTGTGACGTAACAAGCGCTGTCTGACGAAGCGAAACACAAAGAAACGAACCCTTGCATTGACTGTGCTGGCATTACAATTGAGCTCACTTTGTATTGTGGGAAGAAGGTGTGAGCACTACGCATGTTACTTTTTACCATCAGTGAGGATGATAAAAAAATAAAATAAATAACTAAATAAATGTAACAATGCTTCTATGTATTTTTGCTGGCCACGTCGTTCATTTGGGCCGCTACTGGTTGCCGGGCGACATTGACAAAATATTGGCACATTCTCAGCATGCTCACAAGTTTGTTTGAATGACAACGTAGGGACTGATCGCGTTATAATGATCCCACGTAAGAAACAGCTCAGTCACGTTTTGCCTTTTCATTTGTGAACAAGTCCAACAAGTGGATGTTTACAGTGTTGCCTACCACGGCCTCACTATGCCACCCATTAACAAAAAAAATTTTTGGGATCACCTCGATTTAACCAGGTGATCTCCTTGAGATCGGAGCTCTCTTGTGCAGGTACAGATGAAAATGCAGCATAGACCACATGTCTTTTTGGCTTCAAAAGAGAAGTAAGACTTCTGAAATAACATTCCATTTCTAATTCTTTTTTGTTTTTGTTTTTTTTTTTTTTTTACATAATTGACATGAGGTTTAAAAGAGAGAATCATCAAGCTATACACTGAGATACCTTTACTTTAATGCCCACAAATGTGGGAAAGGAGAGCTACAGTCACGATGCACTTTTCAGTCGTTTATTTAAGAGAAAATACATACCCGGTAGTCTACTTGGTGTCTTTGGGATGACCATAAAAATCGATGCACTTTTTTTCTGCAAAGTTGTTCCTGTCCAAAAGATGGTCAAATTGACAATGATGTCGCAACACCCTGTCCCTGCAGACACCTAGGACCTACTGCGCCGCCAACACGGAAGACCTGGAGACCGTCATCGAGTATATCCACACGACCTACCACATGGCACCTATCATGGCGGCGGGAGTGTCCATGGGCGGGTAATGAAGCCACTCGTTCCATTTGCTGACAAATGTTGACAAAGGCGACTGAAAGCCGCCATCGGATGTATTAGAAAAAGATTAACATTACTAGCTCGACAAAAGGGAAATCCAGTACGCATGGATGACTTACGTCTATTAATTTTGTCCAGCTCATTGTCCGATTTAGCGAAGTCCGAGACATGAGGTACAAGTGCATATTTCCTCAAACTGGAGCCTCTACTTCAGTGATAATCCCAACCACTGTTCTGTGAGCAATTATCCAATTTGAATGAAAAGTAGGATTTATTTACTACAAATAATACAGTATATATGTTCATCTGTCTATCAGTAATAGTGATAAGAAGAAGATAAGAAAACCTTTATTTGTCTCACAATGGAGAAATTCCCAATTTACAGCAGCAAATTATGAAAGTGAGAAATAGAAGAACCAAAAGTAAACATCAATTGTAAAATATAAATATAAGCATATTCAGAATGGGTGAGTGGGGGTGAGTCCAGGTTTTCAGGTCAGGTCTGTCTATTCAATAGCCTGACAGCAGTCGGCAGGAACGAGCGGTGGTACCTCCCCTTCTTGCAGCGCGGGTGTATCAATCTCTGGCTGAAGGAGCTGCCCAGTGCTGTCAGGGTGGCCTGAAGGTGGTGGGAGGGTCTGTCCATCATAGCTTTTAGCTTGGCTAGCATCCTCCTGTTGCCCACCTCCTCCAGAGTGTCCAGGGAGCATCCCAGGACAGAACTGGCCCTCCTGACCAGTCGGTCCAGTCTCTCTCTGTCCCGGGCTGAGATGCTGCCTAACCAGCAGACTATGCCATAATGAGGCCACCAAAGAGTCATTCATAGAAGGTCTTAAGGAGTGACCCCTGAACTCAACTCAACTCTCAACTCAACTCAACTGTATTTATAGAGCACTTTCAAACAGCCATTGCTGCATACAAAGTGCTGTACATGGAGCAACGAACATATATACAACAATAAAGCAAGAATCAGTAACAAAGATGGTAGTAGGCACCAAACAGTAAAACTAAGATCAAATCTGAGTCATGCTGAGTCAAATGCCAAAGAATACAAGTGAGTTTTCAGGCAGGTTTTCAAGATGGGCAGCGAGGGGGCTTGCCGAATGTTCAGTGGGAGGTCATTCCAGAGAGAGGCACCAGCAACGGAAAAGGCTCGATCCCCTCTGAGCCTCCGTTTCGTTCTTGGTACTTCTAATAATGTCTGGTCCGCAGACCTGAGGCGCCGGGCAGGTTTGTTGGGGTGGATGAGCTCAGAGAGGTAAGGTGGCGCGAGGTCATTTAAAGATTTGAAAACAAATAATAAGATCTTGAAAAGAACTCTAAAATGTATAGGGAGCCAGTGAAGGCATGCCAGAGTAGGAGTTATGTGCTCCCTCTTACGAGTACCGGTCAAGAGGCAAGCAGCAGCATTCAGGACCAGCTGGAGATGCTTAATGGAGGATTGGCTGACTCCAAAGTAAAGTGCATTGCAGTAATCGAGCCGGGATGTGACGAAGGCGTGAATTACTGTCTCAAGGTGCTCATGAGAAAGGAGAGGTTTTACTTTAGCCAGCTGTCTCAACTCTCTGAATTCCCAAAACCTCAGTTTTCTGATCAGGAAGAGCCTGCCCATTCCTGATCACAGCGTCCGTGTTGGTAGACCAGTCTAGTTTATTGTTCAGAAGAACGCCTAGGTACTTGTAGGAGGTCACCCTCTCGATGTCCGTACCCTGGATGTTCATCGGTGCAGGTGAAGTGTATCCTGCAGAAATCCACAAACCAACTCCTTCGTTTTCCTGGTGTTGACCTGGAAGTGGTTCTGCAGGCAGCAGTCCACAAAGTCCTCCATCAGTCCCCTTTCCTGCCGATCATCTCCGTCCATAATGAGGCAGACGATCGCGGAGTCATCAGAGAACTTTTGAAGGTGGCAATTTGGAGTGACGTAGCTGAAGTCGGAGGTATAGAGAGTAAACAGGAATGGAGCCAGGACAGTCCCCTGCGGCGCCCGGGTGCTGCAGAGAAGCCTGTCCGACTCACAGCTCTGTGCCCTCACGTACTGTGGCCGTGAGGATGTATCGTAAAAGAAAAAATAACTTTCACTACATTGCACGAGGTAAAATTAACCAGTGTATATAATACACACAGAATCATACCTTTGTGTTCACACTAAACAAATTGAGACAGATCATTATTCAAAATATAGGATCTTTTTTTGTGAAAATTTTTGTTCTGCAGGGTAATACGTTTTCGGATTTTTCATGGCAGTGAGATTTCATGCTGATTTGACTTATTTTCATGAATGACATTAGTTTCAATTAGTTTTTAGAGCAAGTTTTATTATTTCCTCCAAAAATATTTTGTTTTCGTTTAGTTTTTATGAGTTTTAGTTTTTTTTTTTTTTTTTTAAGGCAATGAACTAAACTGCTGTTCTCTAACAACTGAACTTCCTTCTTCTCTTCTGTAGCTACAGATGTCCAGCACTACCAAAATAAATGGATTTAAAATCGCATTTTAAAAATGCAGGACATTTTTACTCTGATTAGTTTTATTGTTAGCTTTAGTTCGGAGTATAAACGTGAAATGTAGTTTTAGTCAGTCATTATTTTTTAGAAGCATTTTTGTTTTTATTTTATTTCGTGAACAAGAAAGTTTTTTTCAATTTTAGTTTTAGTCATTTCGTTAATTTTCATGAACTACAATTACCTTGCGTGGTGCACATGAGATTTTTATTGGTAACTCCACAATGTTGTGTGCGTCCATGTTTGGGACCTAGTAGTCTCCATTAATAGCTCCGCTTTTGTTTGACATTAATTGTAATGTACTGCTAACATTGTTTATTCGTCCATTGATGCATACAAATGAATTCCTTCCTGTACAGAGACCTTCCGTGTCTTGAGTTGAGCAAATCAATGCCCATGCTCACTTTTTACCAAAATGACCCTTTGTCACGTTTGACTTTGCTCGCTATGAGATCATATATACAATACAATACATCCTGATTTATAAAGCGCTTTCACAACAACAACAACAGCTGCAGCTGTAACAAAGCGCTTAACAAAACAGTTAACATAAAGTAAAATAATAAACAAAACACATAACATAAAACAACAGACAGTCGTGCAATCCTAACCACTTTTCCCTTATACGCTTTGTTGTTTAAAGCAGTTTGAGATGAAAGAGGAGAGAATCAAAGTGTCCTTTCACCAGTGGATCAGAGACGTCATGCTCAAAATGTGCACACGTTGGCTCCAAGCTAAGTTTCAAAGTCAACAAGAAGCTGTAGCATCCATTGACGGAAAAAAAGAGATTGGTTCACTTCTCCTGTCCCATGTAAATCCATTTCAATTCCAAGCGGCGACTCTCAGTTCCAAATACGCATCTGCTCTGCGCCGACGCTCCTCTCTCTTCATCCTCAACTTCAGCAGCCATCCATCCAGCCGCACCAATGCAGACTGTCTGTGTGTATGTATGTAATACTGGATATGTACAGTATATAGCAGACTTTGTTGTTTTGCTATGGAGTACTCTCTCAGCTTGGTTGCAAGTAGATGATGTTTGGGTTGGGCACATTCAGAGCAGAAAGGTTGAAACAGTTTTATCATCGTATGGCAGATTGTCCATTTTTTTCTGCTAGGATAAGTGCAAAAATTCCAGCAAGTCAATGAAGGCAAGCCTTTGGTAAGGCTAATAATGGTTAAAGGTTCCCGGAATTTACAGTGGAACCTCCAGAGTTTACTGCATGTTTAATTGGTTCCACAAATTCTATTTACCAAGCAGATGCGTACATAAACAGCATGTAGGTAATGGCTCGGGTCAAAAGACAAGAAGTGTGCCAACAACTCGTGCCCGCTGTTATCTATGTGGTTGTGGTTCTTCGAAGGCTGCATCATTTTATATTATAATATTTTGGCTTGTGTTCCCCTGCAACATTGCGGTTTACTTACTTCAGGCCCACTAATCAGATTTTAAAAAAATGTGTTTGTATGTGGAATGGCTCTGTCGGAAATGTAGCCTCTGTGATGAACAGAGGTTCACTGTATATGGTTAATTTGGACTGGCTCTCATTTTTTCATTTGATTTAATTTCAAGTTTTCTTCTTTGTCCCTTCAGGATGATGCTGGCTAACTACTTGGGGCGCAAGGGCCAGGAGACGTGCCTGAGAGGGGTGGTGGTGTTCTCAGCCGGCTGGGACGTGTTTGAGTGCACGGCATCGCTGGAAAAGCCTCTGGACCGCTTCCTCTTCAACTCCTACCTCACCAGCTGCCTGCAAGCCTCGGTGCACAGGTCAGCCGCTGGGCCAAAGTGGGATTAGCGCGGCCGCTAGCCCACTGCTAATGCTATAAGGCAGCCTTGCGGGGCTTTAGCAGTCTGGAGATGAAATCAGAAATGGCCATCACATTTTTTGCTTTTTAAATTTCTTCGAATTTGTGACTGCATGTTCACAAAAGGTGCGTGCGTAGGTGTGTGTGTGTGTGTGTGTGTGTGTGTGTGTGTGTGCGCGCCGCGTCTGTGTGTGTGCGTGTGTGTGTGCGTGTGCGTGTGGGTGTGTGTGTGTGTGTGGTTAGAGTTGTTTTTTTTTTTCAAATGATAAGAGGATAATAGTTGAGAAGTTTATTATATTAATAGTCCATTCATCCAACCATTTTCCGATCCGCTTTATACTCACAAGAGTCGCAGGGGGTGCCGGAGCCTATCCCAGCTGTCTTTGGGCAGTAGGCGGGGGACACCCTGACCCGGTTGCCAGCCAATCGCGGGGCACACATAAACGAACAACCATCCACACTCACAATCACACCTAGTGACAATTTAGAGTGTTCCATTAACCTGCCATGCATGTTTTTGAAATGTGGGAGGAAGCCGGAGTACCCTGAGAAAACCCACCCCGGCACGGGGAGAACATGCAAACTCCACACAGGGAGGCCGGAGCCGGAGTTGAACCCTGCACCTCTGCACTGTGAGGTGGAGAGAGAGAGAGACAGAGAGAGAGGAGAGCTATATAGCTATACATATGAATATTTTGTGTGTGTGATTATATAGTGTTATCTTATTAATGTCATGTATGAATAATTGTACTGTATCCATAATGTTACATAATTCATTTATTTTAGTAAGAATGTCATACGTGAAACATTACGCATGTCTGTTCATCTGCCCACTAGACACAGACCGGTGCTTGAAAAGTGTTACGACATCGACCACGTTATGAAGGTAGGTGATTTTTCTCACTCCACTTTAGCCCCTTTCACGTTGCCTGTTAAAAAAAAAAATGTTTGATCCACCTTATTGTCCAGGCTCAATGAGATTTGTATTTATTCATTTATATATTTCAAACTTTTCCATGCTGTTATATGGAAGCGCACACAAAGTCGGTGACATGCTAGGAAGGGTCACCGACCATTTTGAGAGTGACAGCTCCTTCATGTGTCCTGATTGTGTGAAGGGCTACCAAATGGACACAGGTCTGAAATAACGTATTTGTCCAAATTACCTTGAATAATATTAGCATGTTATTTTTAATACTTCATGATTTTAATCTTCAGACTCTGATCATGTTAAAGGTGTCTCACAATAGTGCCAGTGTTTGCATTTTAAAATCTTAATTTCAACAACATTCCGAGCAAATGACATTGTCCTAGCACTGGCGGACTACTCATGTGGTGCTGCCGGGCTACCTGGTGCACCACGTTGATGACCCCTGTGCTAGATTATGGTTGTTTTTTCCGATGAAAGAGGCTCACTGACCCCATTCCCGTCTCAGGCTAGGACCATCCGAGAGTTTGACGAGAGATTCACATCCATCATGTTTGGCTACGCCACCAACGACGACTACTACCACGATGCCAGTCCGGTCCACAGGCTGCAGTCTGTGCAGGTGCCCATGCTGTGCCTCAACGCTGCTGACGACGTCTTTTCCCCGTCTCATGGTAAGAGCCTTTAAAGCTTATAGATCAATTTCAATGTCTCTTAATTTAAAGTTACAGTACTGTCCGCTGCTCACAAAAATGCACGATAACCTGAACAGGTGAACTTAATTCGAGGTTTATCCTGAAATTTCACTCAAATGCTGAAGTTCCTTACTCTGTGTGAGTAGCGCATATTATTTCTGTAATATGAAAGGATTGAACTGTTAATATTTTTTTTACTGATTTGTTATGAATGATTCTGTGTCAAGTCACATAACAAAAAATTTCAATTGTTAATTCTTCTCAAATAATACTTTCCCAAATTTTTAAACATTTTTGAAATACATTTTCATAAATAAATTGTTGTGCCATTAAAAAAAGAAATGCTATTTCACCTTTCATGCAAATACTGTAGCATACTGCACGTGCATCCTGTTATAATCGTGATGCACGCACGCACTTACGCACACACGCACGCAGGCAGGCACATTCTAACAGCAGTGGAAGTCTACATCTTTCAAATGTCAGGTTTTTGTCTTGAAAAAAAAAGAAAAGAAAGTAAAAATCATTTCAGAACTTTTTTATTCACCATTAACATGACCCATAACCCGTACAAATCAAATAAACGACTGGGCAAATGTGTTTTTCGCATTAAATGTGATTGGTTAATTCAGCCAATTCCCATTTGCAGTGGGTGTGCACACTTCTGTAACACATTTTTTCAGTTCTTTATTTTTACTGCTTTTTTTGCAAAAACCTCAGTTATTTTTTTTAATTTGTGACACGATTTTGGTCACAATAATGGTGACATAGGTTTTTAAATGATTATTATTTGGGTTTTTTTTTTTTTACATCACAAAGAAATGACATTTGAAAAAGGGTGTGTAGGCCTTTTATACCTTTGTACCAAAATGTATATTTTATCTTCATTGAATGATTGAGTAATTTAATAAGCATATTCACATTTAAATTCATTCACTCTGAATTAATAGCACCCAAAATGTAGAAAAAAAAATCAGCATGCAAATGAGTCTTTTGTTTTTGTTGTTGTCGTGTTTGTCAGCCATCCCTGTGGAGGCAGTAAAGCAGAACCCCAACCTGGCCATGCTCATTACCTGCCACGGCGGCCATATTGGCTTCCTGGAGGGCCTGTGGCCAAGGCGGAGCACCTACATGGACCGCGTCTTCCGCCAGTTCGCCCGCGCCGTCATCGAGCAAGGCGGCCGACTCAAAGACCTCTCGTGAGAACGGAATCAACCCCGCCCAGTCCTTTCTCGCCAAGCTGCATTCCATCCGTCCTTCCATTCCCTCTCCATCCCTCGATTGACCTTCTTCCTCATTCCTTCCATCCCTTCCTCTTGCCACACGCAACAAAAAACATTGTTCTGATCTGAAGGGCACGTCCGATTAGCTGCAGTCATTTGATTCATGTATTCCGCCATACAATCATTGATTGTGACACTGGAAAAAAAGGCTAAGTGTTTCGAACATTGTTAAACATGACAACACATCCTTTTCACATTCAACAGTAGGATGTTAGCCCTCAGGGACTTTTTTTTTTGGTCTCTTTGAATTATTTTAAGGTGTCCGCTTTCATTTGAAAGGACTTTTTGGGCGGATTTTTTTTTTTTTTTCCAAAGCTAAAGCTAAAAACACAAGATTGCTTTGTGGATTGCACAAGGCTTAACTCCATTTCAATGCATGTCAGCAACTTTGCACAAATTCATCGACCGTGTACTTTGAAATACTTATGCAGATTTTTATGCATTTTAATTATTGTGACACTGTCAAAAGAAAAAAACTATGGTCACTTTAAAAAAATGAAGTAAAATGAATTCATGTATTCATTTCCACACACACACAAACACACACAAACACACACACACACACACACACACATACACACACACACACACACACACACACACACACACACACACACACACACATACATACATACATACATATACACACTGTGTATATATTTATTGAAATTGAAATGATTCAATTCAGTTGCATTCAGTGGGCTTACTATTCGATTAAATATGGTATGGCTGTAGCTTTTGTCATGATTCTTAATATGCAACACCAAGTAAAAGCTCTCCAAAGCCCAAATTAAGCAACAACTCATCAGTGATGTCAAATTGATTTCAATCTCTTGTGCATCTCCCATAAAAGACAGTTCGATATCTGGCCTGTTAAATGTGGTGCGATGTAAAGATTTGAAAATGTAACGATTTGAGTTGGTTCGTCAAATCCTAACTGAATTTTCCGATTGGAATCGGGTTTTGTTAGCCTCCTAATCTATAGTACATAACTACATATGATACGTTTTTGCTGATGTGATCCTTTTTATTTTATTCCACTGCTAAATAAATGTGAAGTCAATTAAAAAGGGTTTAAAGTGTGAATTAATTGATTTTTTTTTTTTGGTGAATAAAACTGTGATTCTCCAACTTCACCACACGGCAGACCATATACATGGCACTGCAGCTTTAGTTTTTTTTTTGTTTGTTTTCAGTGAAACTGTAATTTGCCAACACCAGCTTTAGGGAAGCTACATAAGGCAGCAAGGCGTGGCAAAACGTCTTAAGATGCCAGACTTGAGATGTGGATATCATCCACATTATCCACATCATCCACATTAGTTAGTTGTCAGTGAAACTGTGATTCACCGACGACATCTGTGCTTTCATCCACAACCATCAAGGAATGTGTGGCAAAAGTCCATAAGATGGCAGGTGCTTTTGACATTTTAACGTGCAGCAATAAGATTTGAAAACAAAAGTTTCTGACTTGTACATGTATAAAATTGACAATGAGCGTAAGATGTGCAGTTGAATAAATGGTTCAAGAGTCTCCATTCGTCTGCCTTTCCCTGTACACGCCAAAGATGGCATTCACTCATGTTGATGGTACAGTGTTCCCTCGCTTATTGTGGTTAATGGGGAACAGAACCCCCCGCGAAAGAGGAAAATCCGCGAAGTAGGTACCAGTCCAGGTATATGTACATGTGTGTGAGTATATATAATATTTATTTATTAAGGTCAAATGTAATGGTATACATGCATGTAGAAGTAAATGTTTGTAATAATTAACATTACTTAATTATATATATA